TAGATCTCACATCTCAGCTGTGTGACTTTGGACTAGTTACCTAACTTCCCCAGTCCTCAGACTCCTCTCTGTCCACTAAAGATAATTATTACTTCCCACAGTAATTAAGAGAGACTTAGATGAAATGCTGTCTTTGAAGGTTTTGGCATAGTGCCTGGCCTGTAGTAGGTGTTCAGAGCCTGAGTTTATACTGTTGTTCTCCACCTTATTTTGTCTGCATTTCTCTGTTTCTGTTTTTGTTCAAAATGACTCAGTGGAGTTACTACTCTTTCTAATAAGTAACTTCTTGTTGTTGTTGACTCCTATTAAATTGCAAGGAATTTTAGGAGTCTTTAAACCATTGACCTACACAAAATTCAAAGGTACTATTTATTAAATACATGCCAGGAATATCATCTGGATACAACTCTGTACAGTAGACATTGCTGGATCTATTTTGTAGAAGAGACCCTCAAGCTCTAGGATCCAAGCCCATTTCTCTGAATCCTCTCAGTGAGGTTCGACATGGTTGGTCTTGGAACTTTCCATGGCTTTTCTAACTTCAAGTTTTTGTTTTGTTTGTTTTTTGTTTACTTGTTTTGGGCCACAACCCTGCTGTGTTCAGGGCTTACCTCTGTCAGGGATCATTTCTGGGGGTGCTTTGGGGATCATATGGGGGTGCCAGGGCTTAAACCCAGGTCTGCTGAGTGCAAGGCAAGCAGATTACCTACTGTATTATCACCAGCCCCCAGGAGTCACTCCTGGTGATACTCACATGGTGTGCCAGGGCTCTAACCTGGGTCATTTATTCTCAAGGCAATAAACCTACCTGCTGTACTATCACTCTGCCCCCAAAATTTTAGATTTTTTGTCACCACAGAATATTGTTTCTATAATGCCCTCATGTATAAGATCAAATAAATTCCTTAATTCTTTTGCCTGTCTTTTAAACAGCATTTTTAGTGACAAGGTACTTTGCTGGGTAGCCCGTTTCATTGCTGAGTGGGTCTACCAGTGAACTATTCTTTGTTTTGTGCTAAATCCTTATTTTCTCACCATTGACTTTAAAAAAAAAACAAAAAAACAATTTGTCTTCTTTTTTAGAACTAATCAGACTTTAAATATTTGAATGTAACTGTTTCTTTTCTCACTGTTTTCCTCTTTTTTAAGTATCACAGGCTAACCCATTCTGGTTCTTTCTTTTTGAAAATGCACTATCTTACATAGGCTATGGTTTGTGCATACTAAATGCACTGTCCTTATTTGTCTGGTTTCAGGTCCAGGAACCTTGTGTCTTGGTCCTAAGTGTGCTCTTAGCCTTTCTTAAGTAGCTTTAGAGGTGCCTTGGAAGAACTTTGATTTAAGTAGTCAACCTGGTAATTTATTTCCAAGGCCATTTATTACTAACCAAATACCACAGTGTCTGTGTGCTAACTCTTTGAGTCCCTCAGATTTTATTTCTTGTCTCATGGGTTTGTGAGAAAGAGAACAAATTGTAAGCAAGGCCAAGATAAGACTTCGATTTTGTTTCTTTCCTTCATCTCTGTTGTTGTTGCTAGAACATTCCTGGTGCTCTGAGTGCACAGAAAACTTTCGCCTTTATGAAAAATATCTAGGATTTTTTTAAAAAAGAAAACAAGTGACAAAAGAGTCTAGAACGTGAAGAACAATATAAAGGCAAGTAGGTTTTTTGCCATTTTCTTAGCTATTAAGATTCTTCACTTTAGTGAATTCTTACATTTAGGTTTGTAACTGTACTATTATCCATACTCCCCATGAGGTAGAGAGAATGCCAGAGCTTTAGGGTGTTTAGAGTGGAACTGTTGGGCTTAACTTGCAGATTTCTGAATTCTGTCCATCATATCTTGTCCATGATATCTCAACTGCTACAGTGACATCAGTAGTAGTACGGATCTCACAGAGAATTGCTCTGAGTCCTAAATGACATCATTTTTATGACATACTTACAATAGGGTCTGGGGCATTATACATTTGCACTAGATGCTATTAGCATGGTTGTTCTGGTTGAGGATATATGTTCATTTCTTCACCCTTTGGTCTGTTCTTCATTTGGGTATTACAAATATGTTTGTCTTCGCATTCTAGATTCCTGTTTTCTGTTTTTTTTCAGAGACAGAATGATCTGGGAAAGCAGTGTCAGTTTGGTATAGCGGTGTGAGGTTCTCTCACAGTTTGAATTGTTAACTGGGGGGAAGGTAAAGAATTAGACGTACTTGATTCTGTGGTTTAGAGCAATGTTTCTCAGTCTTTCCTACCGTTGTCTCCTTATACCTTGGTTCCTTTCTGTGACCCTGCTGTCCTACTTGTTGGCCCACTGATCCCATGCCATGGTCCCAGTTTATACAACATTCCCCTGTGGCCTCCTTGGAATATCCTAGTTTAGGTTATCCTTGGATTACCGAGCTTTGCCACTGGGTATGGAAATTCAAAGGAGACTGTGTTCATTTGCTTTTAATTGAATACATACTGTGGTCATTTTACATTGCAGGGTGTTTAATAATCTGTTTCTTTCTCTTAAATTGGAGGCACTTGTACAGGGAACCCCTTTTTTGTTCAATGCATTATGGGTTTTTTCACTCACTTGATTTTGTAGGATATGTATCACTAATGATTATGTCTTTGGTGCATTGAGAGCCCCCTAGAAATACATAAAATAGTCCACCACACCATATGTAAAGGAACAGGACAATCTTTTGCCCTTGACATATAAAGGGGGGAGATATAAATTTAGACTACGAGCAGGTTCTCTAATTGGGGTTCAGGTAGCACACCACACGGACTCAAATCTGTTCTTTTTGGTTAGAAAAGTGGTGACATTGGGCTAAGCTTGGAGAAGGTGGCAGTATTTCAGGAGCTAGAGAGAGAGCCACAATCTCCTAGGTGAGAGAATTGTTTCTTCCATAGGAAGATGTTTATATATGGTAGGTCTGGCTGGTTTGGGCCCACAGAACTCAATGAGGTTGAGAGCAGCTAGTAGAGGATTTGGGGGGGATCCACATCAGAGATGGGTTTTGTGATGACGAGCCATCACAGGTTTCTGTAGAGCATTGAGATCAGGTGTGAGGTTCTGAAAGGATGCTGTGTGCAGATTGGATTGCAGACATCAGAAGAGAAAACAAAACTGACAGCTGGGCCAATGGTGGGTTCTGAGAATACTATAAACCTATAACATCAGTGAAAAAAAGATGCACTTGAGTGAACCTTTAAAGGTGTAAGACATATGATTTTATAAATAATTTATTTTGAGGGAAAGGACATTTAAATACCTGAAAATGGGATCCAGAGAGATAGTATTGTATGTGTAGTACTTGCCTTGCACACAGCCAACCCAGGTTTGTCTGTGGCACCACATGTGGTCACCTGAACCATTGCCAGATGTGGTCTAGAAACAAACAATGAATTGAAAATTATAGGTAGGGAAGTGGCCTGTCTGTTATTGAGTAAAAATTGAACGTTAATCTTATCCTTAGAAGAGGATTTTGAAGTTTGAGGACATGTAAAATTTGTGATGTGTATGATTTTTAATTCTTTATGCAATATGATAGTTAGAAATTGGATGTATTCTCTGGGCCCTTGGTTCCAGTCCAGCAGTAGGAATGAGGAATTGGAATCTGGAAATTTAACCCTGTTAAAAAACAAAAAACCAAAAAAAAACCCTTTAGGTCCTTGGGAGAGAAGCTATGTTGGGGGAATGAGAAGACGTGAGGACAGAGGACTAACATGCCTCCAAATTAGTTAAGTGACAAGTGGAGAGTGGGGTTAGGAATATCAGGTCTTAGCTTCAGCAGGGTATTAGGTCAAAACTGGCATGTGCTATCACGAAGAGGATTTTCTTTTATGTATAGTTACTGATCTGGAGCGATAGCACAGCGGTAGGGCATTTGCCTTGCGCGCAGCCAGCCTGGCCGAGCCACCTTCGATTCCTCTGCCCCTCTCGGAGAGCCTGGCAAGCTACCGACGCAGGCAAAGCCTGGCAAACTACCCGTGACATATTCAGTATGCCAAACACAGTAACAACAAGTCTCAAAATGGAGATGTTACTAGGCCCACTCGAGCAAATCGATGAACAATGGGAGGACAGTGACAATGACAGCATAGTTACCGATCAAGGGTTGGGCCCACTATCTGTGGTCATATGAAGTGGATATACAGTATTGTCATAGTTTGGGCTCCTGACCCACATACCACCCAGCACCTAACTCTGGAACAATGGTCTACAATAGTAATATATGGCCTCCTCTGGAAGCCATCTTGATTTTCATGGCCTTGTATAGAAGGGGCTACCAGCATCCAAATGAAAGAGTAAAGGGGAGAGGTGCACAGGGCAGCCAGTCATAAGGGTTTCTCCTGCCCCCAATACTAGTAGATTTGAAGCCTTGGAGCCAGAGTGATAGTATAGCATGTTGGACATTTGCCTTGCACACAGTTGACACAGATTCAGTCCCCAGCACTTTATATGGTCTTCTGAGCCCAGCCAAGAGTTATCCCAAAGCAAAGAACCAGTATCTCTGGGTGTAGCCCTAAAACAAAGTCTGAGAAGCCCAGTGGTAGAGGAATAGGGACTTGCCATTTTCAGCTGCTGTTTTTTCATATGTAACATGTTACTGTTGAAAATTTTCTTCTCTTCTTTAGAGAGAAGTTAATATCCCTGTAGGTGTTTTTCCTCTGATGATTCACATCACCAAAGCTGAATTTGGCTAGATCTTAAAACCTGCGAAACTTTGTTCTGGTTTTTATTTTCTTACTATATTGGGTCTCTAATAGAGCAAGAAAATTATTTTGTTTTGGGAGGTAAGATGTTTAAAGTGGGTGTACTTTCTCAAGACATGTTCACTTCACTGAGCAAAGTTCCCTGGAAGGGAATAATAGAGTAGCAAGTACAATTTAACACGCAGTTGGGTTTTAAGAAATCAAGACAGAGTCTATATTTCTTCATTTAAATTTAAAATTGTGTACTCATTTGTAATAAGTAAACCATTATTTCACTTTCTTGTTTATAGGAAATACAGCTAGAACATGCAAAGCAAGCCTTTGTACAAAGGGACAATGCCAAGACTGGAAGAGTCACAGCCATTGATTTCCGAGACATCATGGTCACCATCCGCCCCCATGTCTTGACGCCTTTTGTAGAAGAGTGTTTAGTAGCTGTAAGTTATACCTTCCCCTGATAGAATAGTATACTGTATCAGCCATAAGTAAATAGGGTTATTAAAAGACTAATTATTTACAATGATGTGCTTTTTCCTTTATTTTATTTATTTATTTATTTATTTATGTTGGTTTTTTTGGGTCACACCTAGTGATGCACAGGGGTTACTCCTGGCTCTGCACTCAGAAATTACTCCTGATGGTGCTAGGGGACCATATAGGATACTGGGAATTGACCCCGGGTTGGCCATGTGCAAGGCAAATGCCCTACTGGCTGTGCTATAGCTCCAGCCCCTTTTCCCTTCTCATTTTAATTAAAAATTTTGTTTACAAAAAGGAAAGAAATGATCTTAGCATTTTTCTGCTTAGGCACTGATGTTTTTCAAAATATGATCTTACACCTTGCTGATTCTACTTGGGCTAGTTGTAGTGGGTAAATTAACTAGAAACACACTAGTTTTTAAACCAATATGGAGCTTCCCTTCTGGTGGAATTTTAGCCATTGTTCTATATCATGGACCGTGAGAATGTCCTGGGGGTCTATACAGAGATGTAAATATATATAGATGAGTGTGTGTGTGTGTGTGTGTGTGTGTGTGTGTGTGCGCGCGCGCGTGTGCGTGTGCGTGTGCGTGTGTCTGTGTGTATGTACGTAAGCCCTTAGTAGAGCATAAACATCAGCAGGGATAATTTTTAAACCTGGAGATACTGAGGGCTACTGATTCAGTATCTGTAGGTGAAGAGGACCCGAACTTAATTTTCTAAAGCTTCCTAGATGATTCTGATGGTCACTTGAATTTGGAAGCCAAATCTGTAATTTCTCCTTTTGTTGGTGTCAGGGATAGGAGTTTTTCTGTCTTCATCATCCAAGTTTACTGTAGTGTGTGCCAGAAGGAGGAACTCAGAGTAGCTTTTTTTTTTTCTTTTTTCTTTCTTTCTCCCCTGGTGCGTCTCTTTTGGAGACATGGAATATTAATCTCACCCTCATTTCTTCAGTCCATTCCTTTCTTACTTCATCTCAAGCTCTCATGTCAGCATTTTAAAATGATTACTAAGTCAAGAATTATGTGGTTGTTAGTTTTAAAGAAGTACTTTTCTATTAAAAATATTTTGCCTTGTTAGGGAAGGATAGAATTTGAAACCCCAAACTGAAGTTCCATTAATAATGGATAAGCTGTCTATTTCACTTGTCCCCTCTGGAGAAATATGATTTCTTACAAATTCTGGTTATCTGAACTCTGACCACTTTAACCTCTGTCAAAGCATGTGACATCTCATAATTTACCATAATATGCTTGTTTGCCAAAATCTTGCAATGTAATCTGTATATAAATGATTACTTATTGCTGATTATAAGTAACATGACAATTCATGATATTAATGCTAGATTTCCACTTTTCATAGTATGTCTGTTGCCATGATAATTTACATCTGTAAGTACACATATGTGCATGTGCATATGTATAGTCCAGTTTTGCATGTATAAGCCTGTAAGAATTGTTCATTAGGTGAAATAAACAAACTTATAAAACATTTTCAACTGAAATTTGAACTCCATAAATTACTAACTACTACTGGTCCTGTTATAAACCCTACACATGTATTTATTTAGTTTTCTCAGAGTTGTGTTTGGAAAGTACATTCTGCTCATGATTAGTTTCAGTTACTTCTAAAAATCATTTATAGGTTTTTTTGAACGTGAAAGAAAAATACTTAGAATCTTTTTAAAAAATACAAGCATTTTGATTGCTTTTAAAACTAGCATTTGATATGCATACTTCTGAATCTTCTTCGTTCCATTTTTTTCTTATTTCTTTCATTTTCAATTTATTTGAGGCTGCTGGGGGCACCACATCCCATCAAGTTAGTTTCTCCTATTTTAATGGATTTAACTCGCTTCTTAACAACATGGAACTGATTAGAAAGATCTACAGCACTCTGGCTGGCAACAGGAAAGATGTAGAGGTGACTAAAGGTGAGTGAGAATAAGTTGGAATTCTTGCCTACAATATCTGGATAAATTATTATTATCGTGAAGAAGAATTTACGTTACATATTTTTCTATCACTTTGACACACATTAACATGGATGTTCTTCATCCTTTGATAAGATGAAGCAAACAAAAACCATTTTATGCACATTTTAAATAAAGAGAGCCATCAAATGAGAGTAAAATATCTTAAATGTTTTCAAATCTTGCTAGGATTTATGCTACACAAACTCTAAGATGGCCTTTAAAAGGTACATGAAGAATTCCATAAACTTATGCTGGGTTCATCCACAATCTTAGGACAACATATAGTTACTGTTACAATGGGATTTTAAAATCAGGGAACAGCTTCATTGGTATAATCTTCTGGGATCTATGCATGTGAAGTTACAGACCTGCTTTCTTATTTACTCAGACTGCAGTTTGACTAACAATCTATGTCATGGATTCAGAACCATTAAGTGTCACTAGGTTTTCAAGTCAGTTAGAGAATAATTTCTGCCCTTTTTCCAATGAGTAACCTGCAAAAGTCCTTCTGTTTGGATTGTGTAGAATTCTATATCTAATAATAATAAAGTTTGGTGATGTTCACCCATTCCAGTGTCGTGAGTTAATGCTGGCTTTAGTGACTATTCTTTCTTGAATCTTTCCCTTTTAACTCTTTTTCCATACAGAGGAGTTTGTGCTGGCAGCTCAGAAATTCGGTCAGGTTACACCCATGGAAGTTGACATCTTGTTTCAGTTAGCAGATTTATATGAACCACGGGGGTAAGTTGGTTGGCTTTTTTTTTTTTTTGTAATTAGTTTAATAAAAGGAGGTTTAGGAGATGGAGCTAAAAGAAGTGTAGCAATTAGGAGAAAGAAAAAAACATATTAAGTACCGTCTGAAATATATGCAAGAGAAAGCGATCATTTTTAAATTCCATCATATCAATTTTAATATATCTGTGTTTATTGTTTATGTTTTTCCTTCCAGACGAATGACCTTAGCAGATATTGAGCGAATCGCTCCTCTGGAGGAGGGAACTCTGCCCTTTAACACAGCTGAGGCACAGAGGCAGGTGAGCAAGAAGGAGCAGACGTGCTTTCCAGCATTTCTTGAGTCATGTATCCAACACTTTGCCCCTAGTTTTGGGCACTGATAACTGGCATGTTGTTTTTTCATGTTGCCCCCCAAATCCAGACACTTTGAAAAGACTGAAAAGGGGGTGGAAAAGGGCATAGAAATGCTCTGATTAACAGATTCATCAGCGATTGCTTGTTTCTTTTAAAGCTGCAGTGATTTCCTAACTGCATTGGAAGCCTGGCCGTGTGAAAAATAGGCGGGTCTTTCCTATCCCCATCTAAATCTCCCGATGAGTGATGTGGGGACAGAGCCCCACTTGGGTGTGCTGCTATCCCTTGCGGGGTGGTGTGTGGCTGAGTGAAAGCCTTCTTGGCTCAGTTGAGTGGGACTTCGCCGGCGCATTGTCTAAGTGCCATGCCTTCCGTTTTTTTCTGAATATCAAAATGAGATAATTTTGTTTAGTCTGGAGTCATAGTTTGAGAGCTTTTAGACCTATTTTCTCTGTGAAAGGATTCATAAGTTATGTGGAAACAATTTGAGGAATGCTAAATTTTATTTTATGGTTAACAGAAACCAATCTCTTGAAGTTGTGAGAGTCAGAAACTTAAGACAGGGCCTCCCCCCATTTAACTCTTGCTCCGCCGTCTCGCGATGAGAATTAGAGAATTAAAACCCTTGAGAGCATGTGTTGTGCATACATGATGTTAGTCCAATAAATCCACTCATAGATGAGCTTCGTTTGGGAAAAATACCTCCTTTAAGGCAAAGCCATCTCTGAATCCTATGAGACTTAACAGTTTTTGGCTCGGAGCTCTGGGTCTGTACTGAGACGCCAGTTTGACCACAATGGGGTTGATGCAGGCTACATTTTTAGGACTGGAAGGCCTCGAGCCAGGACCCCCTCCTCTCAGCCCTTTCCCACCCAAACGCAGCGGCGAATTTTGTGTGCAGTGTGTAACTCAAAAGTAGTGGGTGTGTGCTCAGTAAATCCTAACTAGGCACCTCTGGAAAACCAGCTGGCTGTTGTTAAAAGAGGAAGCTGGTTTCCCGGAGTGCAGGAGAGAGAACTGTATAATCACGTGCAGAGGTGAAAGCTGCATTGCTCTCCCTTCTCTCTTTGATTTTTAAACACTGCTTGCCAGATGATTATCTCTTCATCTCCACGCTACTTGCTGTTACAGAAATTTGGGGATTAAGAGAGAGAAAAGTTTTTTTTTTTCTTTTTCCTTATCCCTCTCCTTCTCCAGCTGGCAGTTGTTGCCCACATTTTTTTCCTTTCTGCCCTCTGCAGCTTTTGAGAGTTTTTGATGGGTGCTTGTTGATATGGTCGTGAAAGGTTAAAATAGCCTGATGAGATTTACAGCAGGAAATGATTGGCTGCTGCTTGGAGGTTTAAAGCAATTCACAATGGCCTTGCCTCGAATATGCTTTACTCTCTGAAATCCAGTGAGTCTGACAACACTGACAGCTTTCAGCAAGGAAGGTCATCCACCTGGTAGACTCACTGCTAACTTTTCTCCAAGTAGAGGCGAGAAGGAGGAGGGATTTCTCACGTAGGCATTCTTGGGTTCTAAATTCAGAAAAGTTGTAAAACCATCTGGAATTTCATTGAGTCTTATCTTTTGCATGAAAAGCTTGTGACAGTTGTAGACATCTCCTCCAACTCCCGATATTTTTAAAGTATTTTCATGCATTATTTTGATGCGTTATAAGTTTTCTGTGTTCTGTATTGACAAAGACAAAGCTGGGCCTTTCTCATCATTGCATCTGTCAAAATGAAGTTGCTGTTGACTTCCTTCTGCACTGGAATAAAGTTGGAAACCTCCATTGGAATGTGCAGGAGGAATATTTTACATTTTTGAAAGTGCTCATTCCTATGTAAAGCTATTTTCAGTTCAACACTTTCAAAGGAGATTCCAAATTATCGGATTATTAGAATTGTTTCATAGAAAACAACCAAATTCAGTGAGTTAATAGCCCGGCTTGGTAATTGTTTTCATTGTTCACCGATTTTAATTTCTGGCTTTTGAAAAAAACAAAGTTTATTGAATGTACTTATTCAGTAGGAATGTATTATCACTGTCTTTCCTCATTGACAACACTGTGACATAAAATTGCTATTTCATTTGTATAGACAGAAATGCAATATTCTATGATGTTCTGGTATTTTTTAAAAAAAAATACTGTAAGGATCATAGGTCAAAAGATCTTTGACTGAAGTCTGAATTTAGAAAAGGTGGTGAATAAAAAAAGAAATTGCAAGAAACGATAACTGTAAAATAACCACCAGTAGTTGTAACCACAATAGAAGTTTTGCTGATCTCTTTGTGGCAGTATATAGTCAAAATGTTAGTATTATTTTTGTATGCATATAAATTTAATTTACTTTCTACATTAGTAATACAACAAAGTAACATCGTATATTGTCTTTCACATTGTTCATTAAAGATTGTCATGAAGTATTTTAAGTATTTTTAAAAGTAAGGAGAATTACATGATATTCTTTCTGTTTTACTTTATATTTCTGAAAAAAAAAAAAACCTTAATCTCAACTGTTCTTCTGAATCAGCCTTTTTGATGACATGCTAATTTTTATTAAGATAATAGCAATATTTTTAACAATCCGCTATTACTAAACAGTTAGCTTATCTGTGATTTTGCGTTTAAAATATACCACTTTTTAAGTACTCTTTTAGTTTGTTTCTTGTTTCCACATCTGACTTTTTTATCCAGTTTTTTTTTTTTTTTTGGCATTGTCAGAGGTTACATTCATTCACATTCATTTTGAGGGTTTGGTTTTCCTTCAGCTTATACTAGATTAAATGCTAAGAATAAAGTTTGAGAAGCACTAATTTCTATCAACTCCTACCAAACTAGGTATTGCCATTCAAAAAAAAAAAAAAACCCACACACATACATGCATGTGCATTTATGCATAGCAGAAAACCTAGCAATTTGATTAACAAAGATTGATGCCAGATTAATGCTTCTAAAATTTACATCTCTTTGGTCACTAATGAAAATTGATCATTTCAGAGTAGTTCAGAATATTGGGTGAGTGGGAATATATTTGCTTTTATTTGTTTAAGTTTGATATTCTCTGTTAACTCCTTATTAATAAGAACTCACAGAATCTAACCCTACTTTTGTCTTTGTCATTCTTGTCATATCATGAACTTAGGTCAAAGTGAGTAATTAAAAAAATAATATGTTTCATTTTATCTTTCCTCTTTTCTATCACCTATCTTCCAATTTTCTTATATGGGAAGAAGAAGGCTTCAGTTGATTCATCCAGACCAATTCTCCTACAACTTGCAGAGTCGGCCTACAGGTTTGGTCTGGGTTCTATTGCTGGAGGTTAGTCATGAACAAGTGCAAATCTTTATATTTTACTATTTTTTTTTCTTTTTTTCCACATTGACTGTTCTAGCACAAAGCCTTTCTAGTTTCCCACAAGCTAATTGCTGGTCCATACCTATGAGATGAGCTGTCTAAAACCAGTCAAAAATGAGCTAAGGCTATGGTATTATTCTTTTTTACTTTTTTAAATTTAAGCTGTAAACAGTCTTTAATTAGGAAATTTTTGAATTAAAAGTCACAATTGTTTATTTAAGAAATTGAAAGTTGTTCCAGTTTTAAAATTGGTATGTTGGTATGTTACCAAATTGTTTCTTTGACTTTACCTATACTCCTCCTTTCCTCTGATTTAACTAAACTCCTGAAATACTGACATTATTTGATTTCAGCTGTGGGAGCTACTGCGGTGTATCCCATTGATCTTGTGAAAACTCGCATGCAGAACCAAAGATCCACTGGTTCTTTTGTGGGAGAGCTAATGTATAAAAACAGCTTTGACTGTTTTAAGAAAGTGCTGCGGTATGAAGGCTTCTTTGGACTATATCGAGGTTAGTGCCATGTATTAAATTCATGTAAGGTGAAGCAATAGTTCAAGGTTTGGTTTTCTATCCCAGTGCCTGAAATGTATTAGAGAGACTGCGTTAAAATGGAAATACAGCAGATTCTCAATTATCCATGCTAATGGCAGTCGGCTGCAGGCATCTCGGGCATGGCTAATCAAAACAGTCCATAATCTGAAAGCCATTTATATTGCTCTGTAGTAAGTTTTATTTCTTAAAATAATTATTTTTACAAACGTCTTCAGTGAATTTTTAAAAGACTCATATTGTTTGTGTTCTTGAAATAACTACTCACCAGCTAATTGGGTAAGTCATCCTGAGGACAAGATGGAGCCTACTGGAATGAATGATTCTCCTTGAATATACTACAGGAAATAAAAAAAATCTGTCCGCTGAGTAACTGAGATTTCAGTGGAGCACTCCATTACTATCTCTTTCTGAGTCTCTTTCAGAGTCCCTTCCCTTCCTCACGACTGTGTTCAGTTGTCCATAGTACTTGGTTGGTACTGAGCTGCTCCCTTAATCATCGAAGGTTCATCAGTCAACATAAACAGTCACAGAGAGTCTGTCATCATTGATAGAAAAGAGACTCCCCCTACACACACACACACACACACACACACACACACACACACACACACAAACACACCCGAATGCTTCTTCACTGGCTTTGGCATAGAAAGAATTCCCACCCCCCATTGACTTCTGCAAAGAAAAGAGAGAAACTTAGCCAGTGCTAAAATACAGTAACCAGAGTACAGTGCTGAATTATTTTGCCATTGGGCAACTACAAAGCTGGTAAGGTCTTTCCTCTTCTTCCCTACTGGTACTGTTTCCAGAAGAAAATAAAATATAGTATTCTGCTTGAAACTTGAAACTGGCAGCCATGTTTAACCTGTGCTTCTAGGCCTCTTGTGCCATCTGCTGACTCCAGTCTTCAGCCTGAGCACCCAACATACATAAAAAGCGAGAAAACAACAAACATCCCACTTGGAATCTTTCACCTTAGAAACCAGGAAGTTTCAAACTCCAGAAAAGTTCCATTTTGCTGGTTCTATTGTGTAGATATAGAAAACCCCCATCAAAGGCCTTTTGATCTCTTCCCAGTCCTCTCTCCCTCACCCCCTGCCTCTTTGTACAAAAGGAGCTCTTTGACCTCAGGTGATTGATGATGACCCTTACAGGGTCACTGCCCTCCGTTTGAAATACGTTTCCCTTCTGGTGACAACAACCCTCATAAATGAAATGTCTCCCAAGTAGAACAAGGTTAATGTCACAGTTCTTGCTTTGCATTGATTCAGGTAAAGGTGACCACCTCACCTGTTCCTATGGTTTATCCTTGCAGGCAGAGTTTTGCGTTTCTGTTGAATAGATGTTTGGTTCTTGGCATTGCTTCACATAAGGCTTTTAGGAAAGCCTTCCTTGGTGTTGGATTAAGAGTGCTTTCGGGTTTGGAGAAAGAAAGACATTTTGTCCTGTTAATATCTCTGTGAACATGTGAACCCTGACTGGTTTTTACTGCTGAGTGAGTCCCTTCTCTTTTGTCATTGACCACACCTGATTTTTTTTATTGACTCTGGATTTCCTTCTTCAACTTTTCTTTGAAACTCCATTGAGAAAATCAAGAGAACAAGAAGAAAGGAAATTAATTAATTAAATCCCTGGGTGGAGCGATAGCACAGCGAGTAGGGCGTTCGCCTTACAAGCGGCCAACATGGCCGACCCGAGTTCGATTCCTCCGCCCCTCTTGGAGAGCCCGGCAAGCTACCGAGAGTATTCGATATGCCAGACACAGTAACAACAAAGTCTCCAATGGAGACGTTACTGGGCCCGCTCGAGCAAATCGACGATCAACGGGAGGGCCTTTACCTTTACCTTAATTAAATCCCTATTGATGGAACAGCTTACAGTATACCTGAGTTACTGAGTGCCGAGTTAATCTGCGCCATCCATCCCCATAGACCTCTTGGTGTTTCAATCTATGAGATGAGCCTGACTGGTTTAACTCCTCAGAGAAGAATTAGAGGTAGAGACTGATTCGCCTTGCATGCGGCCTACCTGGGTTCTATCTTCGGCCTCCCATATGGTCCCCTGAGCACCGCCAAAAGTAATTCCTGCAGAGCCAGGAGTAGCCCCTGAGCATTGCAAGTGTAACGCCCCCCCCCACCCCCCACACACAAAGAAAATTAATTCTGGAAGTCATCTACATTCTCCTTGATGTCTTATCTTTTCTAGTAGATAATTTTAAAAGGAAAGGTTTACTATAAAACTAGTTCTTTCTTCAGTTTAGGTCTTGAGGGCAAAGAGTATCTTGGGCATTGGGGTAAAATAGGATGATTTGTTATCCTGCCTCCTAAGTGACAATCCCCTTCTGTTTAGTCCAGGCCTAATTCCCTGAAATATTTCTGAGAATCAGCATTTGAACTTAATGTGTACAAGGATATATAATAATCAAGTATAATTTTTGAGTATAAATTGCATGTTAAACAGAATTTTATTTTAAAAAATTTATTCCAGGAAAAGTACTATATTTTAGTTTTGAAAATTTAGATTTGCTACTGATAATGCTTCACCTAGCAGTATTGGAGAAGGTGTCAGAGTACAGCTCTAGTTTATAAACATGATTCGAAATATTGAGCATATTTTTCCCTCTAATGGGATTTGCTTGACATGTAATTTTTCTTCATCAAGACGTACATAATTGCTAAAATGTCCTGAATAGTATAATTTGGAAATGCTGCATAAGAAATGTCTCGCCCCTAATTTAAATTTATCTTAGTTTCATTTGTGTATATTTTGGAGAAAAGCTGGCAGTTGATTCTGAAAGAAGATGTTTGCCACATCTCTCCTTATAATAAGGTTAATGTGTATCTCTCTCTCTCTCTCTCTCTCTCTCTCTCTCTCTCTCTCTCTCGCCCTCTCATTCTTTTTCCTTACAGTAGGGATACAAATCTATTTTTTTGGGGGAAAAAAGCAAGTTTTGTATTTAGAAGCATTTTCTTTGTAGAACTGTTTGAATGAGGACTCTTTCCCTCTTCCATCTCATTGCAGTGACAGGGTTTGGACGCAGCCTTTTTTGTGTTTTCTATTGGTTGGTTTGCTTGGGGGTCACAGCCGGCAGTGTTCAGGACTGACTCCTGGCTTTGTGCTCAGAGGTCATTCCTGTCGGGCTCGGGGGTTCATACGGGGTGCTGGGAATCAAAACCAGGTTAGCCAGTGACAAGGCGAATGTCTTACCCATCACTGTACTATCACCCTGGCCCTTGCACACACATTTGTGGTGCATGTCAGGATCACACACTATTTTGATGTGGTTCTCACACATACTTGGCTTGGATGTGTAAAGATCTCACACTGTTCCAAACACCAGAACCACTGGGACTATATGCTTTGGGCTTATGTGGGTGAGCCTGGCAAGCTACCCATGGCGTATTCTATATGTCCAAAACAGTAACAATAATAGGCCTCATTTCCTGACCCTGAAAGAGCCCCCAATACGCCATTCAGCTATGCTAGCATGCAACAGGGACAAATGGAGACGTTACTGGCACCGGCTCGAGCAAATCAGTGAACAAAGGATGACAAGTGACATGTGGGTGATCTTAGGGATTCAACTCAGTGCCTCAGGCTTTAAAGGCAGCATTTTTGCCACTGAGCATTCCCTGGGCCCTAGAAGATTATTTTCAAGAAGTCTTTCAGCACTCTGCCATTTCTTGTCTTTTCTAGCAGTTACCAGTTTCTGCCCTCAGTTCTGGAAGTGATCCATTAGTAATTAGGGAATGCGTTTGAATCACTGCCCTGTAGTCCAAGAGACTGATGATAGAACTATGAGGATTGTTAGTGATTGTCTTCAGTAGATATCGATTCCCGTTCCTTAGAGAGCCTTGAGTAATTTTAGTTTTGTGAATTGGTTGGTTAGTTCTTACTCTCTACGTTTCTATTTCTTTGTAACTTTCTTGCATTTACAGGGGTAAGTTTTGGCAAGATTCTTAAAAATCCTTTAAATATCCTGTATAACTCTTTATGCAGGTCTTCTCTGTAATATAGATGATTCTTTATAAGAAAATGATTAGATTTTTTTAGGTTATTTTTTTTCCCTGACATTCTTTGAAAATTGGACTCCTAAACCAAGTCTTTTATTTAAAAGAAATAACACCTATGGTAATCCAGATTTCCCTTGTAAAAGTCTTCCTTTATTTCCTCCCCAGTCTACAGATTGATTTTATGCACTCAGGTGTTTAAAATCCTTAATGAATTACCTGACAGCTCATTTGGTTTGAATGAACTTCATGACCAAATGAGTCAGTTATTGGCCTGCTATACACTTGGCATATTAAAGAGAAACAATTGATTGGGTAATCATCCATAATTAACTGCTCTTAACGTTCCAGGAATAACTAATTTCTGCCTTCAAACTTTGCTATACTTGCCTCCTTCAGATACGTCAAGGAATGAGATGAGCTATCTTAGAAATTGGAAGCTGTTATCAGGAGGACCTGGGAGAGAAGGATGTATTCCAGAGGAAGCAGGAACCACAAAAAAAATTCTTTCGGGAAGATTTTTTTTGTTTGTTTGTTTTTTTGTGGGAGAAGCATTAAAGAAAACCTAAAAAGAAAAATCCTATAATTTTTTTTAATTCAACCTAAATTGGAACATCTTTTAATTTTTGAGTTTTGTTTCCTTAATGCTAGAACTCAAACAAGAACCTCATACATGCTAGACATATATTCCATCACTGAGTTAAATTTCTCTCCCCCTTTTTTTGTCTTTTAATCAGCCCATTGATGCAGACTTGCAAAGTTTCAAATGTGTCTGTTTTAGGTTGTCTGTGGTGTAAAAGCAGTCCTCTTCCATCCTGGAATGTTCTCAAGGTGACATCTAGAGGATAGAGTGGTGATATTTCAGGAAGTTAGTGGTAAGTTTTTCAGTGTGTTCTAGGAAGGTTTTTCAGGTAGCTAGTTTAAGCTAGGTGTTTTCTTATAGCCACT